GGAAACACAGACGCTGGTCCTCCCGCTGCGGTGACTGCAGTGGCCGCGCCTGGCAAGATGGCGTCCAACCTGGAGTGTCAGATGTCTAGAAAGCTCCTGGTGAAGACAGGTAAGTTTGGCCTCGGCCTCTGCCCTGCGCGCGGTCTGCTTGAAAGCGGCAAACCTGGCTTCAGACGTGACGGCGGCCCTTCTCCTAGCCAGGGCGGGGCGCTGTCCCTCTCCCGGAGGTTTGGGTTGGCCCCTTGCAGAGGTGGGGTGGGAGTGATGCTCCTGGAGCCTAGGAGGGTGGGAAGCAGGGGCCCTGCGCATCCCCAGCGCCTGAGCACAGAACACCCAGTCTGAGACAGCAGGGCTGGGCTGAGAAGCTCCGACCTTGGTGAGGGGTTAGAGGATCCAGCCCCCGGTGCAGCCCCGACCACACTGCTCGTGGCTGAGTGTCAGCGTGACACTGTGGCCTGTGGGACTCAGTGATGTGGCCCAGTGATGCTATTTGTAAGATGCAAGCTCCCGGGAGCGCTGCGTGACCCGGACAGGCTTCTGGCCACGTGTCGTGCAGTGAACAGGCACTCGAAGGCCGCAGCGAGCGCCGTGGGGAGCCCGGGGCATCTTTTCCTGTTGAAAGGAAATGTCTTGGGGAAAGTTTGGCAGTAGCACGAGAACCGGGAGCAGGGCTGCCACCCCACCTTCTTGGCCCCCTCCCCAGCCGTAGCAGGACAGGCCTCGAATGCCTGGGGGGCCTCTGCAGCTCGAAAGTGCTGGCCACGGAAAGAGCGTGGGTGTGAACGCTCACGTCCCGCCTCCCCTCACCCCACGAAGAGCTGGGTGAAACTGTACCTTGGGACATACCTGTTCTAGAATGGGAAATTATGGAACCAGGCTTGGGAAGTGCGGTATTTCTTCCTATTTTGAGAATGATTCCATCGGGTTTCCCACTGCCCCCCTCCCTCTGGACCGACTCTTCTGAGTGGCAGGCCCCTGGCCCCAGCAGCAGAAGTCTGAACGCTGTCTCCATCTTCTCACCACCCACCTCCCACACAGCTGTTCAGTCACCTGGTCCTTTCAGCTTCCCCCTGGGACACAGCCTGCCCTCTGGGCCTCCCTGGCATTGCTCAGCTGAAACCTGGCACCAGCAGCCTGAAGCCCCTCGCTGCCCGACTGCCTGCTTTTAGTACAGTCTGCAGTCTGCAGAGGAACCTCCTGAAACGTATCCCTTGTTTAAAAAGCTTCCTTCCCCTTGCCCTCAGAGCCACACCTAAGCGTACATGCTAAAGTATTTCACTTCTCTCCCCTGCACCTTTGCACTTAAAAAAGAAAATTCTGAGGGAGACGGAGGGAGAAGGGGGAGAAGGCACCACGGCGGGGTGTGGACCCTCAGTCTCGTCTCTTCCACTTCTCTGCCTTGCTGGGATTTGGGGTGCACGTGCACACACACACACCTGGTGGGTTTCTTAAGCTGCAGAGGCCGGGATTCGAACCGCGCAGTCTGCCGTAGGGGATGCAGCTGCCTAGCCATCAGGCCACAGGACTGGCCCCAACTGTCCCTGGGCACTCCCTCTACTAGGAGTGGCGGGGCTGCCCTTCCTCCACCCCCCAGGACTCAGCTGCAGTTCTGTTCCCATAGAGACCACCGCTGAGCCCAGCCTGTGCCCTCTCAGGGTCCAGCAGCCTCCTGGGGCTCCCCTCGGAGAGCCACACCCCCTCGCAGTGCCTGGAGGGCAGCATCCGTCAGAGATGAAGTGTTACTGCGAGCCAGCCGCCATCAGCATCAGCGGGCTCTTCCCTCAGCGCATGGTGGGACCTGCCGATTCGGTGCGCTGGCCACCTCGCGATGACCCGCTTCTCTTCTGCCCCCGCAGTGCTCTTTCTAACCCAGAGGAGGGTGCAGATCGGCGAGTTCTTGAAGCTCAGTGTAGCCAAAGGGCTCACGCAGGCCCTGCGGAAGGCTTTCCAGCAGAACGACGTCTCGGCTCACGTAAGCCCCGACTTCCCCCTCTTGGGTTCGCTCTGTTAGGTTCTGCTCCTCCCTCCTCGGACCATCACCACACTTGCCAAAAACAGACCCTGCCTTTGTCTTAGCAAATACCTAAGGCATGGTGTCTGGGGGGAAGGGTGACTTTAGAGACAAATCGCCTTATGTCTGGATTAAAAAAAAAAACAAAAACCTAAAAAACACCTGGATATCCTGGGACTAGCAGATGGCATAATGGTTACGTCACTGGACTCCCACATGGCTGACTATGGTTCAAGTCCCAGACCTGGTGGCTTGAAATCATGCATGGTGGGTGTGTGTGTGTGTGCGTGCATGCCTAGAATCCTGAGAGAACATTGGAGGAGAAGGGATTGCAATGTGGCCATCTCCTCTGGGGGTGATTTCTTGCGTTCTGTCTCTCTGGTGAGAGCACGCATCCTATAGCAAAAATCTCTCTTTAAAAACAAAAACCAAAAACCGTGGAAATCCTGTTGAAACCTTCCTGTTACTGGGCAGCAGTGACCACCACCAGGTGTAATCCCACAGAGACGGCCCCTGCTTTCCTAAACCCGCTGTAAACGGGCTTATTTCTGGACATCGCAGTTACCCCAACTTTGATTGAGTCTGACTTTGCCTAAATTACCAGCAGCAGACAGGGAAGTCACCCTTTTTTTTCCTCTCCACTTTCTTGTTTTTAGAGAGGATTTTGTTATAGGCGTGCGGCGCTGGCGAGAGAGACAGAGAGACAGAGAGAAAGTGAGAAAACACCCCCCAGAAGGGATGGCCATGCCCAAATCCCTTCTCTTCTATTCTCCTCTTGGGATTTTGGGCACGCACGCACACGCATCTGACATGAATTTTAAGCTACCAGTCTGGGACTTGAGCTGTGCTTGGCTGGAAGCCCAGCGACATAACCATTATGCCATCTGCTGGTCCCGCTCTCCAGACGCTTTCGTGCCGTACCTGAGTACAGTGCGCCGTGGTGGTACTTCACGTGTCTGCTGACTGCCACACGTGGCTGCGCTCCTCGGGAGTTTGCATCTTGGGAATCGCATCACGTGAAGCGTCGCTGATTGAGTCTCACAGGCCGCAGCGTCACGGCGTACCCACGATGGACGCCACCTCACGCTGGGCCTGACCCCGTGTTTCGGAGCAGTGCTGGCCGCAGCAGGGGCTCCCTCGTGCAGATGACTGCTCTGGCTTCCTCCTCTGACGCTGTGGCCTAGGGTGACATCCGCCTGGTGACGCCCGCCCTGCCCATCACCCTGAGGACAGTGAGATGTCGCACAGTTTCTTGGTCATGGTCACTTTCATACGATTCTGAAAAGAGGCAGAGAAGCATTCCAGGCTTCCGTGGATTCCGCGCCAGAAACTTTATTTGAAAATTACAGATGTGTGGGCCAGCAGGTGGCACGGGGGCTGAGGCGGCTGGATCCCACAGGGCTAATGCCACAGTTCTAGTCTCACACCTGGTGGCCTGGAAAACACGTTAGGCCTGTGTGTGTGCATGCCCAGAATTCCGAGAGGAGGAGGAGGAGAAGGGATTGCGGTATGGCCATCCCCCAGGGGGTGATTTCCCACTGTCCCTTTCTCTCTCTGAGAGTATACATACCCTACGGCAAAAAAATCTGAAAAAGAAAAGAGAAAGAAGGAAAGTTACAAATGTGAATGTTCTCACTTAGTTCCCTGATGCAATATAACCTAAACTTCAGTGTTTCTCAGACCACTGTGGGTTGTGGTCTCTCCTGCATACCGTCATAGGCTTCTGACACTTCATTTTCATGTTTGTTTTTTAATGGGCTCATTGTAAAATTTTGAATGGATTTCTTTGGAAAAGATCTCGATGTTACCACCGAGGGAAGGTGGTGGTAAAGACAAGCATAATGAGGACGGAGCAGCCCGTGGAGCTCACGCTGGGCGCTGTGGCCCGTGGAGCTCACGCTGGGCGCTGTGGCCCGTGGAAGCGGGGGCTGAGCTGCTGTCCCTTTGTTTTCGGTTGTTTGACAAAGAAGCAGGAGTTAGAAGGTACTCAGAGCCGATGGTCCCTGAGCTGGGAAGCGGCACCTGCCCTGTGGTTTCCTGCTGTGTCCACGTGCCACTCCGAAGTATCGCTGGTTCCCTCTTGGTCACCTTGAATGCGTCTCTGGGAGGTGAGGGTGGGGGACGTGCCGAGGAGAGGGCAGAGACACCCTTCCTGCTGCAAGGCTGTCGTCTTACTGTCTTAGTTTCTTCGGAAATAGGCCTGACAGTTGCAGTGGAGATGCGAGCAAAGGGTCCTGGCGCTGTCCTTGGCATCAGGGGTGCTCGGTTTAGTGTGACAGTTTCACAGGATGAAAAGTTCTGGAGGTAGGAGGTGGTGACCACGGACACCAGCATCAGTGTGTTCACTGCTGCTGCGGTGCACGTGGGAGGGCTCCCAGGGGCAGGTGGAGCGCCACGTGTACACACATACAGCCGTGGGAGGGCTCCCCGGGGCAGGTGGAGTGCCACGTGTACGCACATACAGCCGTGGGAGGGCTCCCGGGGGCAGGTGGAGCACCACATGTACGCACATACAGCCGTGGGAGGGCTCCCGGGGGCAGGTGGAGCACCACATGTACGCACATACAGCCGTGGGAGGGCTCCCGGGGGCAGGTGGAGCACCACATGTACGCACATACAGCCGTGGGAGGGCTCCCGGGGGCAGGTGGAGCACCACATGTACGCACATACAGCCGTGGGAGGGCTCCCGGGGGCAGGTGGAGCACCACATGTACGCACATACAGCCGTGGGAGGGCTCCCGGGGGCAGGTGGAGCACCACATGTACGCACATACAGCCGTGGGAGGGCTCCCGGGGGCAGGTGGAGCACCACATGTACGCACATACAGCCGTGGGAGGGCTCCCGGGGGCAGGTGGAGCACCACATGTACGCACATACAGCCGTGGGAGGGCTCCCGGGGGCAGGTGGAGCACCACATGTACGCACATACAGCCGTGGGAGGGCTCCCGGGGGCAGGTGGAGCACCACATGTACGCACATACAGCCGTGGGAGGGCTCCCGGGGGCAGGTGGAGCACCACATGTACGCACATACAGCCGTGGGAGGGCTCCCGGGGGCAGGTGGAGCACCACATGTACGCACATAGAGCCATGGCGGTATTTTGTGTGTCTGCTGACTGCGCGACACGCTGGAAGCCTGTCTGAGTCACACAGTGAAAAGGCTTCTGGGGGCAGACCGTGTTACGCGTACGTACGATTTTAATTTGCTAGACCGCGTGCACATTCGCCAGAGAGCGAGCCGGAAAGTGAGCAAGCACCCCACGGGGAAGGGCCACCGCAGTCCCTTTTCTCCTTCCTTCTCCTGAGATTTTGGGTGACACACGTGCCTGGTATGTTTTTCAAACCTCTGGGTCCGGGACTTGAACTGCACAGGATTCAGCCATCTTAACCACGATGCCATTGGCTGGCCCGTTACGTGTATTTTACTGCAATAAAAAAAGTGGAAAAGGAGACTAAGAAGCAGTATCTACAGTGTGTGCATGTGTGACGATATGCCCGTATGTGTGTGTCCACATGTGCATACGTGTACGTGGATATACACATGTATGTGAAGTATTCTTGCTGGGGAAATACACTGAAAGGAAACCACGAAGCGTGTGCGTCTGTGTCACAGTGGTGGTGTCTTTCCAAGGGCACCAATTTTATAATGAACATCACGTTTCATATGCACCAAACAAAACGCCCTCAACTGTTAATTTATTGGGTTGGTACAACACCGAGAGAGCAATAGAAAAGAAAAAAAATCTGAAGCCTCGAAACCTCCCGATTGGCAGACCTTTGGTCCCTTGGGACTCACTGTGTGAGAAACGCCAGGCCCTCCTGGCCCTGGTCTCGAACCAGCTTAGAAGCCAGGACGTAGTCTGGAACACTGCCTCTCCCTGGGATCCACTTTACTGGCCGCAGTGACCTAGCTCTGCCTTTCCTCCCGTGAATGGGGGTCAGAGCGCTGTCTTTCTCAGCATTTCGCTTGCTGGAAACCTCTCACCTGCGTCCCCTCGCTGCCTTTTGGGTGGTTGATGCTCACAGGAGAGGAGGAGGCACCTAGAGAGTCAGAGAGCACAGGCCAGTTCTGTCCGGTAGGCGCGGCTAAGTTCCGAGGCCCGCCCAGCCCCGCGCCCCAGGAGGTAAAATGCTGGTCACCTCAGATGTCTGGCTCAGCACGAGGCGCTCGGCAGCGTGGAGCGGGACTCGGTGCCGTGGAAGTCGGCAGTGAGCTCTGCGGGTCCCTCTGCCCTGCAGGTGGACGTGCTGGAATACTCGCACAACCTCACGGTTGGCTATTACGCTACCAGAGGGCGCTCGGTCTACTTGCCTGCTGTGGTGACGGAGATGCTGGGCGTCTATGGGGTCAGCAACGTCACCGCTGACCTGAAGCAGCACAGCCCGAACCTCCAGTCTGTGGCAGTGCTCGCCTCGCCGTGGAGCCCACAGCCCGCGAGCTACTTCCAGCTGAAAACAGGCAAGTAACTGGGAGGGAGACCGTCCTGTCCACGCCGGGCTGGCGGGGCTGGCGCAGGGCACGCAGGTACTGGTTCGGAAGCTCTACTGCGGCTGCTCTGACGTCCTCGAGCATGCCAGCGTGCCTTCCCGGGCCCTGCCCTTCACGTGCCCAAGGTCCCTCAACGTCAGCCTCCATGGCTCTGGGTCCATCAGAACAGCTCTTCACGGGGCTCCCTCACAGGTCAGTGACCCTCCGAGCACCGAGTAGGGCCTATCCTCTGTGCTGCTGGCAGTGGAGGCTGGGAATAGCTAGACACCCCCAAAATCTATGACTTGGAGCAAAGGGTTCCGGATGCCACGGAATCAGGATCTCTGAGCGTGGGCCTTGGAATCAAACTGCCTGGTGATTTCTGCTGTCTGTAAACCACAGGGGCAGAGAAACCACCAAAATGGAGATCCTTGGTGGGCTTATTCGTGGAGGGCGATGACCTCGTTCCCCACGGCAGGGACGGCAGGCAGGCTCCCGCCGGGTGCTGGCGTCTGCGCAGGCGCCTCTGTATCCCACCCCAGTGTGCTCGGGTCCTGTCCCTGAGGGCAGCTCTGGTTCGTTCACGCTTGTAGTCCCTCTGTGCCGTGAATCACTGGAAGAGCCCCTTTCAAAGCTCTGGTCACACCATCTGGCCTTGCGGTGCATTTGCCTCATTCCCTCATCTAAACTCTGCTGTGTGCATCGCGGCCGCGGTACATGTGGGGAGGCCCAGAGCTCCCGCGCGCCGACCTCGCCCTGTCCTTGCAGTGCTGCAGTTCGTGAGCCCGTCGGACAACATCCGGTCCTGCAGGTTCGCGCAGACCATGGAGCAGCGGCTGCAGAGCGCATTCCAGGACGCCGAGAGGAGAGTCCTGAGCACCAGGAGCAACTTGACGATTCAGGTAGGGCAGGGCGCCAGACCAGGAGGCCACGGCAGCCACTGGGCCCCGCTCTCCACGCTGCCTTGTGTAGCGTGACTCAGCCCCTCTGACGTGTGGTGTAGATCGACAGTGACAGCGTCCAGGTCCGGTCCTGACGGGGGAGGCTGCGCGGCTGTGCACCTGCTGTGGCTTGGGGTTTCTGTCTGTCCCCCACGTGATGCTTCCTCAGGCCTTCCCGACACCTCTTATTTAAAAGACGGACGCGGACCTACTGTGAGAGCTGTTACATGGCTGATGTGGGGAGTCCGCTCTTGTTTTACCGAGGTTTGCCTGTCCCGTGATTTCTACCGAGTTATATCCCAGACATCCACATGCACATCTGTAGTGCACACCCTACACACGTGTGCACACGTACACACACACATACCCACACACATGCACACACTTCACACATGAATACACCCCCACACGTGCACACACCCCACATGCGTGCACACACACCCCCACACACATACACATTGTGTATTGAGGACCTACTGTGTGTCAGGAACAGCACATGAATACACCCCCACACGTGCACACACCCCACATGCGTGCACACACACCCCCACACACATACACATACACATTGTGTGTTGAGGACCTACTGTGTGCCAGGAACAGTGCTGAGTGATTTACAAATATTTTGCTACCTAACATTCAAAATATCCTTCTAGTCTCTTCTTCCATGTCACAGAAGAGGGAAGGAGAGAGAGGGTAGGAGACTTCAAGAGCTCACATGTTTGGTAGAGATGGAAACAAGGCCTTGAACCCAAAGTCCACACCCTTGTCCAGCGTGCTATCCAGGCATCAATGCGGTGTAGAAATGGGGTCCTTCATGCCGCTCTGGGCAAGTGTGAATTCTTCCCCAGGTAATCCCATGCTTGCCACCCCTTGGTGCTCTGTGTGTAGCCTTTCTAGGTGAGCGGCACTCCCCACCAGAGGCCTTTCTGGGTCATTTTCTTTGCTACTAGACCAGATGTTACCTCACCAAGGATGAAGCTTCTCACTACCTTCACCCCGGCCTCACATTTCTCTAAGTGTGTCCACTCGTCATCGTCTCTGTTTTGACTACTGAACTAAAGCCTTTGCAATGAGACCACTGGTTTTGAAATTGACATTAGCGTAGTGAGTTATCAGAAAGCCGACAGGATGTAGGAGGCACAACATTTAATTCGAACGAGCAGCGTTACTCTTCTAGACTCATCCAGAGTGTGGTTCATATCAAACTAAGGTCTAAAATTACGCCACAGACCTGAGATTTATGTAAGGAGCGTGACTCAGCACTCGGGCGGAAGTCGTTTTCTTTCTGATGGGGCCTATGACCCTCACAGGTGCCTGAGCTGGTTCGATCTTGGCAGCAGGACAGACTTGAATCATGCTCAGGAAGCACAGACTTCCTGAGCGCCTGCTATTTACCAGGCACTGGGAGAGACACCGAGAGAAGTGCACTGCCCTTGGCCTTAAGAAGCCTGCTGTGTTGGTGCGTGGTAATTGTTAGGCCGTTAGAGGAAACCGTAAATCAAGTAAAAAACTTTCCTTGGAAAAAACTGCGACTGGATTTGAAAATTCCATCTGAATAGATTTTAGATACTCTTGAACATCTCAGCAGCTCTTTAAATGAACGGATAATTGGATTGCTTTATTTATTCTGTTTCACTTTTTGCCTTGGTTGACAGGAAGCCCAGAGTCAAAGTTGTTGCCTGGATTCAGTAACCGTTTTAGCTCCTGTCTCACGCCCGGATAACTACATGCCTGTCTGACCCCTGGGGTGGTTGTTCATCTGTTTTTGTTGTTGTTCTCAGGATCTGGTTTTCTAATGAATAACTTTCCATTTTATAGTATGAAATACAATTTGTAAGGTGCTTAGACTCCTTTGTGGAATAAGGTCACATAAATATTTAATGAATTAATTTATGCAGAGAAAACTCTCTTTTTAAAGCTTGTGTAGCTTTGGTGTTAGTGACTGGATTCCAGTTGACTCAGGACTTCTTTGGTTGTAAGCAACAGACTCCAAACTTATAAGACTTAAGCAAAACAGAACAAAACAAAAACGAAAACAGAACAGGAGGTGACAGGCTCTGGCACTGCTGAGCCTACGGCGTGCCTCAGGCACGGGTGGGTCCGAGGCTTGCCATTTCTGGGTCCCTCGCTTGCTCTGGTGTGGGCTGGCAGCAGCCTCAGGCCCTGGGCCAGGCCCTGGTTCGTCCAGGTTGGTCTCCTTATTGCTCACAGCCTTGGGGAATCAAGGTGCCTTATATGGAATGACCCATTTTAGAAATGACCACTTTTGGATCATTCCAGAAAAGTCATTTCAGTTTTCTAATTTCAGTTAAAAAAAAAAAAAGAAAAGAAATTCAGTACCATATTTTTCATTCTAGTAGAAATCTGGGACCCTCCTTGGACCCTCCTGTGCCCAAGTCGGGGGTGGGGGGCAACTTTGGCAAGAAGATGAGACGTCTGAATCGGGGGCCTGGCTTAGCTGCCTACGGCTGGAGCTTAAGTGGTTGCCCCATCTGACCGACAGGACCAGAGTGGGGGGAGCAGTGGTCCCAAGTTACGGCCCTTCTTACAGAGGAAAGAACGGGTGCTGGGAGGCAGGACGCCAGCTTCTGAGCCGTGAGCCTATAGGTGTGATGACTCATGGCACGAGTGCAGAGAGATGAGGTCAGAAGCTACGAGAGACTCAGGAGGGGCAGGAGAGCACGGCACTGCTCTTGGGCACGGCTTTCAGGGACCGGTGCTGTGACCTCGGTCTCAGGCCTGTGGTTTTCTTGCTTTCAGATCTAGTGTTATGCAACTGCCAGGAGTAATCACTTTTTCAAGCTATCAGAAAATCGAATATATTGGGCCAGTAAGTGGCATAGTGGTTAAGGCACCAGACTTCCACATGGCTGGCCACAGTTCGAATTCTAGACCTGGCAACTTGAAAATCACATCGGGCACATGTGCATGGGTGCCCAAAATCCTGAGAAGAGGCTGGAGGTGAATGGACTGTGGTGTGGCCATCCCCACCCCGGGGGGTGATTTCTCACTTTCCCTCTTTCTGTCTGTCTTTCTCTGGCAAGTGCATATGTCCTATGTCCTTAAAATAAGACACAAATAAGTGGAGAGACATCTGTGTTCATGGGTCAGGAGACTTAGTATTGTAAGATGTTATTGCTTCCAAAGTAATCTACAGATTTAATGTAATCCCTATAAAAATTCCAGTGATCTTTTTTGCAGAAATAGAAAAATCCTCCCTAAAATTTGTATGAACTCTCAAGGGACCTTGAGTAACCAAACAATCTAGAAAGAAAAGAACAAAGTTGGAGGTTTCATCCTTCCCGATTTGTTTGTTTGTTTGTTTGTTTTACTACAAAACTATGGTAATCAAAACTGTGGTGCTGGCAAAAGGCATACAGCCCAAGGGAACAGAATAAAGAGCCCAGAAATAAATGCTCTTATAAATGGTTGAGTGATTTTTGATAAGGATGCTATGGCTGTTTGATGGAGAAAAGACAGTCTTTCCAACAAATTGGGAAAACTGGATATCCAAGAATGAACTTGAACTTTTCCTAACACCATCCGTCAAAAATGAATTCAAAAATCGAGTGCAGACCTAAATATAAAAGCTAAAGCTCTCTGAAGATAGGGTAAAACTTTGTGATACTGGATTTAGCAATGATCTGTTGGCATGACACCAGAAACACAGAAAACAAACAAAAAATGGACAAATTGCATTATATCGAAGTTAAAAACTTTGTGCATCAAAAGACCCTATCAATAAAGTGAAAAGGCAACCCACAGAATGGATGAAAAATATTTGTAAATCATATAGCTGATAAATGGTTACTCTCTAGAACATATGAAGAGCTCCTACAACTTAACAACAACAACAAAAATAATAATAAATCCAATTAAGAAGCAGGCAAAGTTCTTATGACCTGTGGCGTGGATTCCTGGCTGAGGGACTGGACCACTTGACCTGTAGAGTCCTGGCAGCTTTCAGAATGATGTCAGAGACATCACTGAGAAAGAGGAATGGTGATCTGAGGGGATGACTGGAATATACGTTGGTACAAAGTTGAAAAAAACTAAAAATAACTACTCAACTTTTTTTTATTAGGAATAAAAGAAAGCAGTGGGCAAAGGATTTTGAGTAGAAATTTCTCCAAAAAAGATAGCTAGAAGGCCAATAAGGTTATGAAAAGCTGGCCTACATCTCTAATCACTACTTAAATGCAAATCTAAATCACGAGATGCCACGTCATATGTACTAGGATGGCCAAGTTCTGGTGAGGATGTGGAGACGCTGGAACCCTCGTGCATGGCTAATGGGAATGTCTAATGGTGCAGCTCTCACGAACACGGAATTACCGTATGACCTCACAATTCCACTTCCGGGTATAGACTGAAAAAGAGCTGAAAGCAGAGACTCGGAAAGGTATGTGTACACCTGTGTTCATAGCACCATTGTTCACAGCCCAGTACCACGAATGGATGAACCCGCAGGGCGTGGGTGGGTACACCATGGTGCCATGTACCTGCAGTAGATGAGTGGGCACACAAAGTCGCCGTGCACCCGCAGTGATGAGCAGACACACCAAGGGGCCGTGTACCGCAGTGGAATATTATTGAGCCTTTGGAAAGGGAGGGAACACCAGTGTGTACTGCGACATGGATGAACCTTGAAGATATTTTGCTAGATGAAATAAGTCAGTCATAAAAAGACAAATACTCTGTGATTTTTCTCTTATTAAAATACCTGGAGTTGTTGAATTAACGAGTGATTCCTCTTAGAAGAGGCCCTGGTGGCCAGGGCCAGGGGAGAGAGAAGGTAGGAGGCTTTTAAGGGGTGCAGAGCTTCGTCTGAGAGGACAGAAAGTCCTGCAGGAGGGTGGCGTGATGGCTTACCGCCATGCACGCGTGCTTTGTGCCCCTGAGCCACGCACTGCAAACTGATGAAAACGGTGAACATTAGGCGTTGCATATCTTACCACGATTAGAAAAGGAGTGTAACCTGCCGGGCCGACTGCGGTATATGCAGAAGGAACCTGTGCCTCTGGCTCAACAGCTTCTTTTCTTTCCTGAGGGATTTAGTTTTGTTGAAATATGAAGAATCGAATTTTCACAATGGAGATACAGGTGGAAAAGGTGTATATTTTTTAGTTAGTATTTGGCTTATTTTTTGGTGACAGTGTAGTGAGGTCTTTGGAATTGTTCAGAAAGAAGTGCCTTTCTTTTGGGTGCCTTGGGAAGGAGGCATGAGTGCCTGTGGCTAAACCTCATTCCAGAAATACTGTCAGAGAAGAGGGGGAGCTGAACAGAAATTCTGTCTCGGTTTATCATTAATTGTGGAAAACTAGGGTCTGCGTTAGAGAGTTAAAGGCACTTCCACTTATGGGGAAAGTGCAAAATAAAGTGAAGAAGCTGTTCTTTTTTTATTTTAATTAAAAAAAATTTTTTTTTCCTATTAGGGAGACAGAGAGACAGAGAGTCACTTCCATCGGGGCCTCGTGCTGTGCACCACCCCAGCCTCAGCTCGCCTGCATTGCCAGCTCACAGAGAAGCCTTGGGACAAGAACCTGGGGCCCTTCCAAGTGAGTCCGGCTTTGCGGAGTGTTGAGTCACCACTGTGCCACCAGCTGGTTCCAAGAAGTTATTCTTGACAGTCTTCTTCAAAGCCAGGTTTGAAACTACACAAGCACGCGTGTGAGCAGGGCGGCTAGGTATGGAACAGTACCACGGCAGAGGTGAGAAAGGGCATTGCGTGTGTGTGCATGCACGCGCGCGTGTTCACAGATAGAAAAACTAATAGAGCGAATATGGAAGGTGCACAGCATAGCGGAACGTTCCGGGTCGAAGCTGGTGACTGTGAGGATAACTTTGACTTGATTATCTCACACGACACGCATGCCTGAAAACTACACTGTACCTCCAAAGACGTACAGTGAAACATAAATCAGAAATTATACAGTAATTAAAAATATAGAAAAGGAAGTTACAGGACCTTCATCTGCAGCTCTGGCAGAGTGGCTATCGGTCGGTCACTGCCCGGTGGGAAGAGGGGCACGTTGAAATGAAGGTAACTGGAGAAAATGTCAATGAAACAGACCCTCTGTGGGAGAAAACTGCGGGGCCAGCTCAGGCCCCAAGGCTCACGGGGCGAGGGGAGCGAGGGGAGCGAGGAGAGCACAGCTGTCCACAGCAGCCTGTCGCGGTCCCGAGGGTCTGCCTCGGGCATGGACCAGGACAGAGAGGGGGACGGCCAGCGGTTCAATGGGACGGGAGACAAACGTCTCACAGTCTGGATCTCACACCGGGACTGGATGCCCTCCCGCCGTGTGTCCTTCTGCTGTCGTCTGTGGATGTTCCTGTCCATACACTGACCCAGAAAACGCCATTTTCCAGCAGCTGAAAAACTGACGTTCACAAAGTGAGAGGAAAACCAGACCATCCCGTGGAGCTTCCTATGTCCTGTATTGGACGGATAGACGAGGAAATGGATTGCTCTCTCAAGAACATATTTTAATTTCTGAATCCCTTTTTATAACCAGGTTGAGGCACCCAGGTACATTCCTGTCCTTCGACTTTGAAATTCCTTGGAAGTTCGACCCAGACTTTCTCTGAACTGGGCCCTTGTCACATTTAGCAGGCCTGTGTTCTAGAGCTCTTCAAAACATGTGCATCACGAAAAAACATGCATGGATTTCAAAATTTCTTTGCACCAAAATAAACTCGTACTCTAATTCCATTTTTTCATGAACTTTTTGAAGTCTCATGTAGTTTATCTTTTCTTTCTTTCTTGCCAGAGAGCCTCTGTGCTCACCAAGGTGAGAGAGAGAGAAAGCACTGCCCCTCGTGGGACTTGGCCACACCGCAGTCCCTTCTCCTCCATTTCTCCATCGTATCGGGATTTGGGGCACGCATGCGCACACACATGTCTGGTGTGTGTTTCAGGCTACTGGAGCCCAGACGTGAAGCACGGTTGGGCCTGTGGCTCCTGTCACCACGGGGTTCCCGAGCTGGTCTGTCTTTTATATTCACAGAATCATTACAGTCATCACCGGGGACAATCTGTTCTAGTTTCCGGAAAAGATACGCAGCGATTATTAAGGACCTGAAGCCCAACTACCTGAGTTTGAGTCCTGACTTGGTCACTTCTTAGCTTCTGGTCTGGTCAAGTTCCGGGATCATCCGGGCCTCAGTTTCCTCCTCTGTGAGAGGGAGTCGTAACCGATAGGCGCCCGAGGTCGGGCAAGGGTTACATGGGCTGGTTCGCCCTCAGCTCCATGGCGGAGCATGGCTATCCGAGCAGTGACCGTTGTTATTCTCGTCTCTTCCTGCCATTTCCCGTTTCCCTGCTGTCCCTACCCTCACCTTCCTCTTGCACGTATGTCTCCTCCCATCTCTCCCGGAAGCAGACCCTCATCTGCCATTCTCCCCCCTTCCTCCTGTGTCACCCAGATCGTGAGCACGTCCAACGCCTCCCAGGCCGTCACCCTGGTGTACGTCGTGGGCAACCAGAGCATGCTCCTCAACGGCACCGTGGCCAGCAGCCTGCTGAGCCGGCTATCGGCCGAGCTGGTGGGCTTTCACCTCGCCTACCCGCCGCTCACCATCGCCGAACGTGAGTGCCCACAGCCTCCGACGACATGCGGGGCTCGGTCCTGTCCAGGCCCCGTGCCAGACCCACAGCTCACCCTGAGTTTGTTGCATCTCTCCCAAAGGAGAGGGAAGGAGAGGTCCCCAGGGGCTTCACACTGCCGTCCACTCCCAGCCAGAAGCAGCCCCGGTCAGGGCACACATGCTCCTGACGCGCTCAGGGAGGTCCACGTGGGGACTGGGAGCTTCCCAGTGGGCTGTCTCCCGGAGCGTGGGTTTCCGCTGCTTCCTGGCCCCGAGTCGCACAAGAGCAGTGGAGACGTGATGCGTAGGCTTGACCTGACGGAAAGCTCGTCGATGTCGGAGGAGAACGTTTAGGAGGTGCTTTTCCCTCACTGTCTCACAGCCGCCCCTCAGCAGGTGCAAAATCAGCCCCCCTCTGCAGAGAATGACGAAGTTCCGAGGGGTGCACCTGAGCTGCCCGCTGAGCACACAGCGCGGCCCCTAGGTCAGGTGTTCACAGGCGCCCTCGGCCTCCCCTCCTGCAGCAAGGGGCCCTGGGCCTTGCGCCCCCGCGGTGGCTCCAGATCCCTAAGGCAGCTGGTCTGCAGTCAGGGCCATGCCTTGGCCAATGACATCCCTGTGGCTGGTGGCCCTGTCTCCCTCTGGGCCTCGGCTCCATAACCCTCCCTGCCGTGCAGCGGTGTGGGCTTCAGGACACAGCAGCTTGTGTTTTGCACCCAGACAAGGACGAGGTAGCCAAAGAAAGTCAAGGGTTATCTTTTCTTTCTTTTTTTTTTTAAGAATTATTTATTTCTTTTTATTTATTATTATCATTATTATTATTTTAAAATCTGCTGCAGGGCATGTATGCTCACCAGTGAGAGACATTGAGAGAGAGAGAGAGAGAAAGTGAAAAAATGAGCCACCAGGTCCAAGACTTGAACCCTGGTCTGCCACATGGGAGTTCAGTGCCTTAATCACCACACCACCTGCTGGCTCCTAAGGCATTACTCTTACGTTTAATCATTTTTACATTTCTCAAGGTCACTTTCCCCAAGGCCGCTGGGCCAGTGCTTTTGTTTTTCTGCATTAGCATGTTAGCAAAATTTCCTCGCAGTTTGCTTTAATGGTTTTTCCTGCCGTGAATAAATGAGGTCACGTGTGCAGGTGGACTTAGCGCACTAAGCTGCTGAAATTGTTTTCAATGTTCAATGACAAGTTTTGCAAACTTCTGTGTAGTTAGGAAAGATAACTCTGGTCCATGAAAAAGATGACGTGATGAAAGATGACAGTATGTCACATGGAAATGTGATGCGCTAACCTTCCCTCATCATTCTCATATTCTGATAATAACTAAGATTTATTATTTTTACTATTATCATTTTCTAAAGAGCTTTTGTTATAGAGTTCATGTGCTTGCTGGAGAGACAGAGAGATGGAAAGTGAGAAATCATTCCCCAGGGGCATGGCCATGCTGCAATCCTTTCTCCTCCTTTCTCTCGGAATTTGGGGCACACACATGTGCCCAGCTTGAGTTTCAAGCCGCCAGGTCTGAGACTCGAACTACAGTCGACTATGTGGGAGTCCAGGGTCGTAACTATTAAGCCATCTGCTGTTCCCAAGATGTATCATTTTTTAAATAAAGTTTATTTTTTTCATGAGGGAGAGACACGCAGACACAGAGAGAGCGAGGGTCCTCTGGCCACGGTCCACCCCGGTCCCCCCTGGCTGGTACGGCAGGCAGGTGTGCACATGCCCCGCGTGCTCAGCCAGCTTCTGGGGGACACAGCCAGCGCCGTTCCCACGAGGGCCCCGTTGCCTTACCTCTGTCCCGCTGCCCAGCCCCGGCTGAGAACTGCCCTTTGCCGATGCTGGTGCGGAATGAGGGGCCTCTTGTTATATAAGCACTTGGCTCCTAGAGTCTTTGACGTTGGAAAACTCTAAGAGACAATCATTCCTAAAAATGTTAGTGATGGCTGGGAATTGCAGGGAGAGCGACAGCTAAGTCGGGCCCCCGCTGGGGACTTGGCGATGAGGGCGTTCCGTCTACGAAGGTCTCGTTGGGAACTGATCTGAAACCCTCATGTCTGACCTCCAGTCCTTCACGCGGCCTCTTAGTTTTCTGAACAGCAATAAAGTTTTGGCCTAGATGAGGGGACCTCAAAAACAGTTCATGGAAGAAATGAAATTAAAGTATTAGTTTATTTTGGTATAGAACGTTTTGAAATCTGTAAATATTTTTTTCATAATATGCATTTTCTGTAAACTTTTGGAAGACCTCGCCTATGTCCTAGAAGTCCCAAGGGTGAAGCAGGATTTAGCTGCCAGCGGTTAGCATGTTACCCACTTCCCTAAACAACACTCACATGCAGACTTGAGAAGGTAACGGGTGTGTTTCTTGTTGCTCTAGCCCTGGAGTACCCCAACCTCGACATATCAGAAGCGACCAGAGACTACTGGGTAATTACAGGTAATCTCTCACGTTGTTCTTCCCCTCTTCATACTCTCAGGTTTTTGTTTATTTTTTAATAGAATTTTTAAAAGTTTATTTCTTCCGGAACAAGCAGTTAGCGTAATGGCTATGTCGCTGGACTCCCATGTAGTCGACTGCAGTTCGCGTCCCGGACCCGCTGGCTTGGGAAACATGCCAGGCGCGTGTGCGTGCGTGCCCAAGATCCCGAGAGGAGAATGGAGGAGAAGGGATTGCGGCGTGACCATCCCCCCAGGGGGTGATTTCTTGCTTTCTGTCTCTATGTCTCTCTCTGTCTGTCTGGCAAGCACACGCGCCCTATAGCGAAAACCTCTCAAAAAAAAAAAAAAAAGTTTATTTCTTCCATGAGTGAGACAGAGAGAGACAGCACCCCCCTGGGATGGTGACACCGTGACCCACTCCAGCCTCAGCCAGCCCCGGGGGCCCCACGCTCAGGGAGGTCTCTGGATGTGAACCGAGAACCTTCCTGTGAAGGTCAGTCTTGCAGCATGTCCTGCTTTATGCTGCACCAACCTCCAGCCCCTGGTATGTTTTTACAATCACGTGGCTCTCAGTGTCAGGACTGGCACTTTTCTTTGGTCCTGTCTCTGGAGCCGAGGAGTCGCTTCTGTAGGGCTTGAAGTGAGTGGAATGAGCTGGCACCGCCCTGAGGAGTATCAGGGACACCATTCAGGGCTTCGAAGGCGCCCCAGTGGCCTCTTTGCAGAAGGTAGACCTGTCCCAAGTTGCAGCACGGCCCGGGCAGTCCAGGGCCTGGTGCGCTGTGAACGTTTGTCTGTGTCCAGAAGGTCGGTCACCCTTTCTGCCGATCCACAAAGCCCAGATCAGGGTCCGAGGGAGGCCGGGCATGTGCGTCCCTCCTAGAGTGCGGCCCACACCTGCAGCAATCCTGGCCTGGCTGACGGCAGGTGGACAGCTGCCACAGATGTTTTGGTGGCATTCTCTTTTTTCCTTGACATTTTCCAGCCAGACTTTATGAAACAGTAAAAAAGTTCTTATCTTTTTTTGAAAGCCAGAGGGTAGCAGCAGCTCTGGACATCGGAGAGGCAGAGAGGACAGATGTTTGTGGAAGTGACTCCCCAGCCGCAAAGGGGGCGGGAGGAGCCAGCTACCCCCCCGGGCTCGCTGACACAGTACTCGCGCTGGCGACAGGAGCAGCGGACCCTCTGTTCGCCGTCCTGGTGCTGAGGGCCAGCTTGGGTGTGGCGGGCCGGGCTTCTGTGGCCTCACTCCGTGGCTTGTGGGTGGACACTCCCTCCCTGTGCCTGCATAATCTTGCCTCTGGGCACATCTGGGTCCTCATCCCTCTTTTTAAAAGTTTATTTATTGGTGAGCTCGAAACCTCCAATGGGGTCTTGTCACTCTGTGACACCAGCCAGCCTCCAGCCAGGCTTCTGGGTACACCTGCGGGCACTCCTGGGACCTGAACCCTGGGCCTTCCCCCAAGGTGGCAGTGTCACCCTGCAGTATCCCTCACCCGTGCCACCACAACTGGATCCCAGTCCCTTCTCTTACACGGACACGTCAGACCGGACTAGGCCCTCCCGTCCGATCTGCTTTGAGCTCATCACCTCCCGAGAGACCTGTGTCCGCGGACAGTTGCGCTCAGAGGTCTGCAGGCTGGGACTCCTGCCTGTGACTGTGGGGACACAGAGTCCAGGAGGACGTGCGTGGGAGGCGGGCCGGGCCCAAGTCTCCTTCCGTCCCCGTCCCTGCCCTCATGTGCTGTCCCCAGCGAGCACCAGTGGGCTGTCACCTCAGGCACTAGCCAAGACCCTGCTGGAGGAAGCCCACCGCGGCGTCCACGCTGCAGAGAGCCGCATCTCCCCACGAGCCAGCCTAGGCACGGGCTGCTTTCCCTGCCAAGACAGCAAGCTGGGGGAAATGTTTAAACCGGAAACCTCAGGGTTCGTGCCCGAGAGACAGTGCTAAGCTAGCAGCTGTGAAGCCGGCAGACACTGAAGAGCTGCGAGGCCACGGCTTCCCACAGAGGGCGGCGCTTTGTGGTGTCCGACGTCCCCGGTCCTGTCTACGTGGAGGCTGACACACGGTAACATGTCCACGTGGTACAGACCAGCCGGGCCGCCCCGGTCACGTCTTCCTGCCTCCCCACTGCCCTGCTCTCTGCAAGAGGCACACCTTTGTAGCTGCCCCGTCTTGTTCCCAGGGCCCTCCCGGGATCCCCACACTGACTAGTGACACTCTGGGGACCCCCCCCTCCCACTGACTCAGTGATCCCCCTGAGGTCCCCCTCCCACTGACTGGTGACACTCCTGGGACCCCTTCCCACTGACTCAGTGATGCCCCCCAACATCCCCTCCCACTGACTCGGTGATCCCCTACAGCCCCTGTACAAGAACTGGGGTCGCCCCCTGCGGCCCCCGTACAGGATCGGGTCGCCCCCTACAGCCCCTGTACGGGAACCGGGTCATCCCCTGCGGCCCCTGTACAAGACCTGAGGTCGATCCCTGCAGCCCCTGTACGGGAACCGGGTCGTCCCTGCGGCCCCCATTCGGGAACTGGGTCGATCCCCTGCAGCCCCCGTTCGGGAACTGAGTCGTCCCTGCGGCCAGGCGCTATGCGGAGGCGGGTGGAAGTGCACAGGCTCAGAGCAGCGCCTGGGGGGAGCCCGGCTCGCTGCTCACTCACCTCGGTATCACTAGGGTAGGATCCCGGGCAGCAGGGCTGGCCCTTGGCCCGGCTCCACCGTTACTGACCTGGTGTGTCCTTGGCTGGCATTTGGCCTCACCTTGGAGACCGAGAGGCTGAACTGATGTGGAGATTCCCGTGAACACGCAGGGCGGACCACAGATAAACGGCTTCTCCTAAGGGAGGCTGCACAGGCCTGGGTGTTGGCTTTAGAACCGGGGCAGGGGGCTGGGAGACGGAGCAGTGACTGGATATGGAACCTTCTGGACAAAGCTCCCCCGAGCACAGCCAAAGCCTTGCTCCTCCTCTGAGCTGACTCTGGTGGCCGAGGGTGGGGGCTGGGCCTGGCTGAGGTGTCGGGGGCTGCAGTCCTCCAGAGCGCTGCACCTGGCCCAGCTCTGTGGTTCTGTAGCTCTGGGTCACTGTGGGACACACGAGCACTCCCCTTCCCAAAGGGGCCAGGGCTGGACTTTGGGGTGGACATGCAGACCTGGCTGGGCCCGTGTTCATGCAGGCCCTCCTTCCATGCTTCCGGGGCTGGCCGTGGTGGTTGCTTCACCTGTGGGCTGAGAGCCCTAGGGGAAGACCAGCCCAGGGCAGAGGAGGGAGGGGAGGAGAGCGCCTGGGCCTGCCACGCCCAGCGCTGTGCTAAATGCTTGCGCAGCCTCTCCCTAACTGAGAGCCCACCGCAGATCCCGTTGCTGGGAGGCAAACACTCTGTTCCCCTTTACAGAGGGGACTTGGGCTTGGAGAGCCGGTGGCTGGCCCGGATGCCCACAGCTGGCAGGTGCCAGAACCGGGGAGAGTTCACTCCCAGCTCGCAGTCCTCTTCCCGAGAGGGAGGGGATAGAGGGGCACCGGGCAGCTGTGGGACAGTGAAAGGGCCCCGCAGTGGAGGGAGGGCTGAGGGCCTGGTCAGCGTGGTCTGCCAGATGTCAGGCTGAGCTGTGGGTGGGACCCAAATTCCTCGGCAAAGCCATAAGGAGGGAAAAAAGCCCGGAGCCTGGGTGGGAGCAACAGAAATCCCAGCCGGCCACACCGTGGCCCCGCTGGGCTCCCGTGGGGACTCATAGCAGCACGGATTATTTACTTATGTGCACATGTATGCATATATGTACATGTATGGCCAGAGGGTGTGTGCGTTCACCAGAGGGAGGAGGGGGGAGAAAGAGAGAGCACAGTCATGTCTCAGTCCCGTCTCCTCTCCCCACCCCCGTCAGGATTTGGGGCATGCTTGTGTGAGTGCGTGGCATGTTCTCCAAGCTGCCAGGCCCAGGATTTAAACCACGGGCAGCCGTGTGGGATCCAGCCAGCCCTAGCCATCTTAAATAAAGGCTGGGTCTATTACAGCCGTGTTGGGGAGTCACAGCTCAGAGGGGAAGGAGCCCAGGCTTTGGGGTTTCACAGGCCGGCTCACCTTTGAACCTGGGCTGTGCCGTTACTGGCTGTCCCTAGGCAGCTCCCCAAACCTTGGCAGCATCTGTGTGTCCCTGGGGCTGTTGTGAAGGAGTGGCAAGGTGAGGGTGCCGCCCCGGCTGAGGCAGGGACGGGCCCTCAGTGGCCAGCAGGTCCGTGGTGGCCGTGGGTCCTCGGTGGGCGGGCCGCGTGCTGAGCCTGCCCTCTGCCTTCCTCACTGCAGTGCTGCAGGGTGTGGACAACTTGCTCGTGGGCCGGCACAACCAGAGCTTCGCCCGCATCATGGAGCAGCGCCTGGCCCAGCTCTTCAGAGCGCCGGCGGCGGAGGCGGGCCGCCACCATGGGGAGCTACACCGTGCAGGTGGGTGAGGCCGCACTTTCTACAGCCGAGAGCGTGCGCCTCCTGGTGCCACACAGCACACGGGTGCAGAGGGGCGTCGTGGCTCCTGGGACCACGTGGTCCATGTGAGCAGAGGGAGTGCACGTGTGCAGGGGGGCGTCGTGGCTGCTGGGACCGCCCGTGATTGGCCCAGCTGTCCGTGTGGAGGACCAGGGTCATGACTGTCGAGGACAAGGAGGGGAGAGTCGGTTGTTGCTGCCCCGTGGTTGTGACTGGGCTGTGAGGGAAGGAGAGCTCAGCACTCTTCAGTTTGCCAGAGGGGAGTGAGGGAGCTCCCACGGGTGCCACGCTGCAGTCCCCTCCTCCATCTCCCCTCCGTGGGGATTTTGGGCACGCACACACGTGCCTGGCACTTCTCAGCCCCTGGGTCTGGGACTTGAACCGTGCTGTAGGCCATGTGGGATCCAGCTACCCTGACCACCAGGCCACAGGCCGACCCAGTCTCAGGACGAATTCTGCACACAGGCTGCCATGTGGAGGAGCCAGTTGCCCGCAGTGAGCTCAGCCACGTCCCGGCTCTGCCCTCACAAGCCACTTGCCGCGGCCACTGTGCACAGGGACATGTGATATCCGAGACAGAGCCCCATCAGCTGTGTGCAGCCGGCTTTGGCACACGTAGCCCTCTGAGCTTAGCGTGGACACACGACTACGCAGAGACCGAGGCTCGGGGTGTGGCCTCGGGCATGTGTGATGTGGGCATCTCATTGGGATCCGGCTGACTGCCCTGGCATGTGGACCCCGGTCACAGCAGGGCATAACTGCACCACGGCACACGTGCGTCTTGTCACACTGACTGCGAGAACATGCACTAAGGCAGTGTGGACGCAGGTCACTCCCCACGCAGCCGCCCGTCTTCTGGGATGTTCTGCCCTGCGTGACGCTGCGGTGGCTCGAGGGAGGGCCCAGGCCCCTCCACTGGCAGCCAGTGGACTTGGCCCCGTCCTGTCAGATGCCGCTGTGGCTCACAGGTCTCCGTGGCCCCTGCTCTCCTCGTCCTGAGGTTTGTCCCACTGGGTTGTGGGCCCCCGTGTAGGGGCCCTGCCCTGTAGTTCACAGTTCTCCAAGTCCCGCTTCTCAGGTGACACTGGGGTGGGATTGGCCTGCCCTGGGGGGAGGGAGGACCACCGAGCTGGTGCTGCTTGTAAGCCTGGAAAGTCCCACTCCACAGGCCGGGAAGGGACGCACCCTCGGCGCTCACGGAGCGTGGCCCCTTAGCTGCCAGGAGGCCGGAGCCCAGCAGGCGGGGTTGTTTCCGCAAGTCCCTAAGTTATGGAAGCTGCATATCACCTCTTAACATGGCCCTTGGAGAAACCCCGGGGAGAAGGATCTGCTATTGGATAGAAACAGGACCAGCAGGAGCCGTGGAGGTTAAAGCAGCTTGGTCCTACATGGCTGGCTAAGCAGTTCACGCCGGACCTGGTGGCCTGAAAATCACCAGGCACACGTGCGCATGCCCAGAATCCCGAGAGGAGAATGGAGGAGAAGGGATTGCAGCGTGGCTGTCCCCGGGGGTGCTTCCTCGCTTTCTCTCTGTCTCTCCGGGGTGAGTGCATGCGCGCTATAGCACACTGTAAAACAATTGCGGTTGAGTGATGCTCTCAGATATGTGAATGTCATTCACCTTCCACCTGGCTCTTCTACTGCCCTCTCCCCTTCCTTCCCACTAGGGAATCACATGACCCAGTTCCCTCCCAGTTCCTTCTGCACAACTTACATTATCCTGTCACCCAGAGGCCTTCTGGGCTTGGGTCATTTTGGAGGTGAACATGGAGGTGTAGATATCTAGAATCTACAGCTATTTCTCACGTTGCTGTATTGGAAAATGTGGGTCCTAAGAAGAAATGCATATGACCAGTAAACATTTTTAAGTGTTTGGCTTCATTTACGGTCTAAGTGATACGAATTCTAATGACCACACGGAATCATTTCCTCCTACCCGAGGCTGTAAGTTGGTAGCGTCCCTGGGAAGAAGAGCAGTGGGGTGGGCACTTTGAAACAGAGTGAGTGGGTATGACCTTTCCGGAGGGCAAGTGAGTTATTTCGACCAGAACCTTCTAGATCGGGGTAAACTTAGTCCTAGAAGTTTATTTCGAGGTAGAGATGAACACAGTTCTGTGAAGTGCTCCATCAGACCTCTCATCCAGTTTTCGCTGGGTCCCAGTCGTAGCTACGGTGTAGTCGTCACGCACAGCATTCCTACAAAAGGCGTTAAAGCTACGCGCAGCGTAAAGCGCACTAACAGAAGGACCCACAGCCCAGAGGCTGAGAGCGTCGCCCTGACGTCCCCAGAAGGCTCTGAGCGCCTGCTCTGGGCAGGCTCCCTGTGCGACCCTCCGGGTAGGAGGTGGTTCCGAGTCTCAGTTAAACCTTCCCGCGTGTCCTGCATGGGCTTCGCCATGTGTGTTCCTAGCTACCACGTGCTGTCGTTCCACCTTCGGCTACATGTGGTGTTTCTGATTTGTGTCTTCTGCTCAACACGACACCTTCGTATTCATCCACGTTGATGCAAAGGGTCATAGTTCCTCGTTTTCGGTATTCCGTGGTAGACTGTACCGTCTCACGTGTCCAGTCCACAGTTTGTGCCTGTTGGAACAACGTTACCACTAATGTATGTCCTTCACTGTGCTGTGAGACTCGCAATCTGTGGGACTCTCAGTCTCACTTTGAGAAATACTCTGATGCCCATGAACTGTCCTTTACAATAGGGAAGCTGCTGATGCCCTCGATGTCCAGGGGCATCAGTAAGCTAAGTTTACCCGGAATGTGTCCGATACTGTGTAGGCAGTCAAGCTTAGCATCGATGGTTTAGTATTTATGACTATCGGTTGTTAATTATGAGTAAAAATTGAGTAACCCTCTAAGTGTTTAATAATAAAGGGCTTGTTAAATAAGTTTACGGGGAATATCATGTGGAAATAAATACTTATGCTTCTGTTACATTTTAGGCCATTTAAGGATGAAAGTAAAAATAGCAAGATAAGATATTACATATAGGTACATACAGATTGGACCTGGTACTTTTCACCTCCGTATGACTAATAAGACAGACATCTCATTATATAGAAATAAGGGATAATATTATATACTATACTAAATAATTTTGTAAAATAATAAAGAAAAGGTTGTGTTGGGGATAAAACCACAAACAAGCAAATACCCCAAAATGATACCGATAATTAACTTGTGGTAGAAGAATTACAGGTTGTTTTTATTTTATTTCATTTCATTTCTTCATGATTTTCCATATTTTCAAATTTTCCTATAGGGAATTTGTGTAGCTTTTCCAGTAAAAAAAAAACCACAATGTTATTTTAGAAAAGAAACTTTGTATGTCCCAGTACTGCCTTTATCAGAGACCGTTGGAACTGCAGACACAGACATTAATTTCTTTCCCTTTCAGGCAATTACGGGAATTGGAAAGTACAAATCTCGTTTGAGGACAGCCTAACTGCCCTGAATTAAGCAAAGGCCTATTTCCAAATGAGGCCAGGCTCTGCGGAGGCTGGGAGCGTCTCCGTCCCGTGGCGTTTCCTTGACCCTGAAGCTGCTCTTCCCGCTGTCACAACCCTTTCCTCCCGTCTCCGGCTCAGAGCTGGGTGTGGAGAGGCTCTCGCAACCTGGCGTGTCCGCTTAGCACGCAGGCTCGTGGTCAGGAGAGAGCCTGCCGACCTCCCTGGGGTCACGAGATGCCCTGTAAACACGTGGCCTCTCTCTTTCTGAAAGATGGTGAAGATGCAGCGTGTGCCAGGGCCCAAGGACCCGGTGGAGCTGACCTACTACACCCTGCACAACGGGAAGCCTCTGCTGGGGACTGCGGCCGCCAAGATCCTGAGCACCATCGACTCCCAGCGGGCGGCCTTGACTCTGCAGCACGTGGTCCTCCTGCAAGCTGACCGTAAGAGGGCGGGCTTGCATGCGTCCTTCTGATACTGTGAAATGCCTTCTGCAGGTCAAAGCGACCCCTAGATGCTAACGGGCTGATCAGCTGCGAACCCTGGCTGCAGGAGGGGGGCTCGGGGTTCCGATTCCCTGTGGGTGTCAGAGTGATGTGCTGTCACTGCATTTCTCTCGGTGTTGTAGACAGCTGTGGTAAATCCCTACAGCTGAGAGTGTGTGTGGACACTGGGGGCATTAAAGATAGCATGATTTGATGGCCAGCAGAGGACGTAATGGCTATGTCACTGGACTCCCATGAGGTCGACCGAGGTTCAAGTCCCAGATCGATGGCTTAAACTTACACCAGGCGTGTGTGAGTGCGTGCCCAAGATCCTGAGAGGAGAATGGAGGAGAAGGGATTGTGGTGTGACCATCCCCCCTGGGGGGTGATTTCTCGCTTTCTATCTCTAATGTCTCTGTCTGTCTGGCGAGTGCACGCGCCCTATAGCAAAAACCTCTCCAAAAAATGTTAAATAAAAAGATACGTGATTCAGCAAGTGCAGACTTCTCCCTGAGCCATGCTCAGTGCCGGGGGACATACGGACGTGGCTGAGTGCTGGTCCCTGCCTTTTGGGAGCAGGGGAGTGAGTGCAGAGGTCTGGGCTATGGAAAGGGCTTCATGAAGGCAGCACCACCGGGCCACGGCCATGGCCATGGATGGGGGTGTGCAGCCAGCTCTTGAACTCCCCCATCACCTTTATTCCCTTGTCAGGGGAAGGTTGAGTCAGTTCCAAATGACAGGAGGGGAAACGGAGCCTCGAAAAAGTTAGCCAACCTGCTCAGCGTCACAGGACGAAGACTCAGATCGCCAGAGTGTGAGCTGCGTGTCGGACCCTGAACGTGCTCTCTTTTGTTTTGCCAGAGGGTATGCTTGCTGGCCAGAGAGAGAGACAGAGAGGAAGAGGGAGACAGCGAGGGAGAGAGAGAGGGAGATGAAGAGGGACAGGGGGAGAGCACCTCCCAGTGGGCGTGACCACACCGGCATCCCCCTCCTCCATCTGCCCCTCCTTTGGGGACTGTGGGAATGCGTGCACACATGCCTAACGTATTTAAAAGTCACCAGGAGCCGGAGTCCACACTGCAGTCGGCCACGTGGCGCCCAGCTTCCCAGCCACCAGTCGCAGTGGCCCTGACCTGCGTTCTTAACAGTATTGCACTCTGGACTTCAGCCGCAGAGGGGGCATATTGCAGAGAGAGCGGTGTGAGCGCAGGGGAGGAGGTGAAAGTGCCCGATGGGCCCACCTGGGCTGTGGAGTGGGGTGGGTTAGAACAGCTTATGTGCAGGCGATTCTGCTGGGGCCCAGGGAGCAGGCTGTGCCTACTACGAGCAGCTGTGGGAGCCGGTGAGACGGAGCGGGGAGCAGCTGCACTGAACAGTCGCTGGGTCACGCTCGGCTCACAGACACTTCTCCTGGGAGCGGGGCACGGCTCTCTGCCACCTTTAACCAACAGGCCATCCTGCCGTGCACTGTCTTCCTCTCTGGCGACTCCTGTCCATCAGTCTTGCTCAGTCCTCTGGGCGCCTGGGGTTCTATGCTCAGCTCCCCCCCCCACCCCCTGCTTACGTGGGAATACCCGGGAAGACAGGCATGAAAACCATGGCAGGCACCCAGGCGGAGGTGGTGCTAGAGATGAGACTGCAAGAACTGGGTGGATTGGGGATGTTCTGGAGATGGAGCCAATGGGGTGGCAGAAGGTGGGTCAGAGCCCTTGAGGGGATGAGGAGACTCCAGGTGGTCACTCCAGAGGAGGGCCTGTGGTCGAGGGGCAGACAGGGCAGGACAGGGGTTTCTGGGGCTGGACGGGGAGGGGGGAGGACAGAGTTTGGGTTTAGCCACATTAGGTGTCCGCTATACGCTCGGAAATGG